CAGTTTAGGAATGTCTATTGTTTTGAGTGCCAAAAATGCACGTCATCTATTGACTACACACCCAGCAATTGAGAAAGGACAATCTGATGGCAATGACGTTGCAGGTATGCACATGTATTTGCGCGTTGAATAGCATAATTATATTTTCCATCGTCCAGGTTTTAAAAAACCTTGTCCTAGAAACAAATTAATAAAAAAGTTTGAAAAGTTCTGAGTAATCATTATATAGGAATAACAAATCTAAATCAGAAACTCAAATAACTTTTCCTTTATGTTGATTGATTTTTAGAAATTCTAATAGCGCTAAATAAATTATAACTACTCAGATTTTTAATACCATGATCTTCAAGAACTTCTTTCACATTCCAAGTTAATATTGTTAAATTGTTATATTACGATAAGAATTTTAAACTTCAAAACAGAATAAAATGAAATTTTAAACTTATTAAATTACGGTTACTCGTTAGTGTTGGAAGTTACTGGAAGAGAAAAGATGAAGATTGTAGAGCAAGATAACGGTTGACAGACAACAAGATTGCAAATTATATGAATCAGGAAAGCAAGATGAAGGAAGCCAATTCCAAAGAACTGATGTTCGAGGAAAAAAACTAAACGAATAAGAGTTTTTGGAGCACTTAGGAACAGTAACAGAAAAAGGAATTTTTAAAAATAGGGATAACAGATGCTACTTTCCAGCAGGCTGGAAAACAAGACTCTGATAAGCACTTGTTAAATAGTTTTGAAAGGATAGACGAAAGCTTTGGAGAAATCTTCTGCAGAACTATAGCAGGTATGTTGTCCGGGCCGCAAGCTGCAGAAAAGTCTAAGCAGGAAATCACTTTAGATACAGAAGCTGGAGTGATACGGATGTCAAGCAGTGGATCAACCTGTTTGACAGCTATATCAGGTAGAACTCAACTAGTGGAATCAAGAGATGATATTGATGAAAAGTTCTTGGCAAACAATTCAGATTTGTCTTTAGGTGAGGTGACAAAGTCTGAACCGTACAAAAGAGGTGGAATTACATACTTGCCTTTGTTATTGATACTATTAAAGATTCTCCAGAAGTCCCGAGAGCCTAATTTTTGTGATGAAATACAAGATTTCATGGTCTGAGAATAGTGGGCTTTGGCAATAAACAAAACCTTTTTACAATGGTTTCTAGCAGTAATATACAGATGTCTGATTTCTGGAGAATTGTTTTGCTGATAGATATGGAAGTAATGGTTTCGATTGGCAATTGCAGCAGCACAATGTGAGGAAAACCATGGAGAAGAGTGAGGTTTGACCTGGACTCGTCGAGAGGGAATAAAAAAGATTCCATGCCAGCCTGAATCCACGAAGTTATGTAAGAAGCACATTTGTCAACAGGAAGATGAAAGATTTCTACCCAGGGGCCATCACGAAGAAAATCACAAAAAGAGTCCCAGTCAGCTTTAAGGTAGTTGTAAGATGTACGATGATAGGGGGATTCTGATGATAAAGAAGAATGAGATAATAGTTTTAGAGAGACCAAACCATGATCAGAAGCACCTTAGGGTGAGTGTGGAGAAACTGAGCACTGACTAGGATTAGAAACAAGACATAAGTCGAGTGGAGAAGGTAAATGATTCAGGTTATCTGGAAAGCAAGTTGGAAAGTTGACTATTTGAGTTAGGGATTGAGAAAGGCAAAAGTTGTGGGCCTTAATGCCTGCGGAGTCACTGACACTAGAGCCAAGCTATTCAGTGTGATGAACATTAAACTCACTGACAACGACAATATTGGCTGATGGATAAAGAATGAGGGCTTGGTCAATATAATCAGAAATAACATCAAGAAGAGTGCAGTCTTGGGATGAGGGAGAGCGATATAGAACAAAGAGAAAGGTGATAGAGTGAAGTGGTGCTAAACGAAAGCACATAAAAGAGTAGTCTGGATTCAAACCTAGTTTCCCGACAAATGGGTGAATTCTTACGAATGTAAATGCCCAGGCCAAGCATGTGACTATTGGAGTCTTTACGAATTAAAGGAAGATAACCATCAACACTAAGATCACAAGATGAGACAGTTGAACTCAAATTAGTCTCACAAAGAGCAATTAGGTCTGGTGAACTTTGCAAGAGATAAGACTCAACAGAAGAAAAGTTACTTCGAAGACCACGAATATTGGTGAATGATAGGTTTAGCGAACTTGGTGATGTCTGTGGTGTTTTGTGTTTTATAGTTTTTGTTACTTTATTCATTTTTAAATTTGTTAAAGAACTTGACTCGAAACATAGATAGTACTCAGTACACTGTTTTATAGCCCAAGCAATTGCCTCATTTCCACTAATAAACCCTAAGCCGTAACAAAGGGTTTCAATGTGGCCTTGGCAATGCACACCAAAAGTACAAACAGGGACACCATCAATGCGCAACATGGCACTGTTAGTACTCTGATATTTTTCAGCTGTTGATGGAATCAGCCTCTCTGAGAGCTACCACAGAGTTTGGGAAACCTGACTACCAGCCTGCCTCAGAACCATAAAGCTGAGTTTTAGAGCTGTACCCTCATTTGGAGATAATAGAATGAGTTGCCTAGTCATAAAAACAGAGACACAAGCAAAACCCATGCATCGAGTTAAGAAGATCCAGCGTTCAACATCCTAAACTGGAAACAATGTATTAAAAATACATTTGCGCCAGCCTAATAGATGGAGAAGGGGTGCGAGGCTGGTCAACAGATAGAATCTGTTTACCCCTTAAGTCTTTGCCTAGGAGGCTTTCTACAAGACAGCAGCCGGATGCATTTAACATCTGCCTAAGATGAGTATTTTTATCGAGACACCATATTTAGCCTCTACTCAACCAAGAGCCCCAAGGCAGGGGGTGTTTTATGTCGAAGTTTGCATCTCCTAGCCTTTGCCTAAAAAGGCATATCCTACAAGGCAGCAGGACATGAAGCAGATTGTACTGGATTACATGTTACCAGTAGCAGGATAAACCTGACCTGATGAGTTAACAACGGGCGGGTACCCATCAACAGCTTTATATATAATAGAGGCGCTAAAAAACATGCAATAATTATGCATCAACCTAATAATCATTATTTGATTATAATAAATATATAATAAATAAATATTATCAAAAATGAGTATTTATTTATGTTACAAGAAATATATATAATGTCAAATTATTATATGTGGTTTAGTTTTACAAAACTGAATTTAACAACAACCTTGTCAACTCTTTCTTCACTATACACTTTTTTACTCCACTCTATTCATTTTATCAATTTTTACATCTTTTATATGTTTTGATTTTTTTTACTTTATTACATGTTTTGCTTAGATAGCATAAAAAATATGTTATATAAGCATAAAATATGTTGTAAGTAAAAAAAGTCCAAACATGTAAAAATTGATAAATAAAATAGAGTGGAGTAAAAAGTATAAAGCAAAGAAGGAAAATATGTTGATAGTAATATTATCACAGGGCCGAAGACACGGAGGAGGGGGCAGGAGGCACGTGCTCCCCCCACTTTTTTTCTAGAGGACCTTTTTTTTTTTAAGAGAAGATTTTTTAAAGATATTTTTTTTTAAATATAGAGGACTTTTTTCACAAATTGATGATTGTGCCCCCCACTTGTCGTCGGTCCTGTATATCAACATGTTGTCTTTCTTTTTGTATGGTTGTAATCATAGACAACAAGCGAGACAAAAAATCATGATAACTTACATGTGCGTTGAGTACTCGATGTATATAACTTACAAGTGCGTTGAGTACTCGATGTAATTAAGGACAAATCTGTTATTTACGAATTTTTTAAACGCGACAAAAAATTGAAAAGTTGAACTTTTATTTTGCTATGTACAAAATTAGCGATATTGTAGAGGTTAAAAAAAATAACCTTTTTCGTAAAAAGCGTCCTTACGTCGAGAAGTGACTGAACAAACTTAGGCAATTTACGATTAAAAAATTATGGCAAATGCGCATATGGGATCGTCCATAAATTACGTCACGCATTTTTTGACAGATTTTGACCTCCCCCCCTCCCCCTTGTCACAAAATCATAAGACTTAAGAAGCAAGTTTTGTATAAGTCATCACAAAACTACCAACCCCTCCCCCCCCCCCCCCCTTATAGCGTGACCTAATTTAACAGGGTAAATCCAATTTGAAAAAAAAAAATTCCAATCAATTCTCAAAGCATAAT